GGACTTGATTTTCCAGGGCTGCCTATCCTAGGCTTTTCAGGATTAAACTTTATACAATGTAGATCTATATGTTGATCAAATATTTTTATACATGAAACATTGTCTTTTTTGTTCTGTTCATTTTCCTGTTTGCTTTGAGTCATTTCCTGTGGAAAGTGATATTATAAAATACGGTTCTGACAACAAAAATGTTTTTGATTTAGATGCAGCTTCCATCACACAGTAGCTCTCTCAGACTTTCCCTGGTCACACAGCAATAATGCCCTCAGCAACATATTAATGCTTTAGAACATTCCAAAACAAGTTAAAGTGCTTGTTTGGTTACCTGGTGACAAGAGAAAGGTATGTAAACTATCAAAATAATTATGTTCACCGCCCATCTCTTTACACAAATAATGTAAAGCCTAGAATTGATAGACACACAGACCACCCCACCTTCCTTCTAAAGGTGGTACTGAAATGGGTCCAGTAGATCTGGTGGTCTAAATCTTGTTACAGTCTGTCTTTTCATACTGTGTGCGCGCTGCAGGATGCTCTGCACTCACTGATACCCAATGTAATAGTGTACAAAATGTCATTTCATTTCTACATAAAATACGTATGTAAAAATGTATTTTTTAAATGAATAATGACTGGATCAAACACTGAGCTGTGGTATCTTTTATTAGACAAAAACTCCATTGAAACCAGAATGTGGTTTTTTTTCCTTCTTGTTCTCCAAAGGGTGACCACCCTGTGCAGACTCTTTTTTTTACAAAAGACGACAACAAACTTCAATGCTAGAAAATAAGTTTTTGCAACATAATAGCTCAGAATTTAAATACACAAATGCTAGAAAATGCAAAGTTATTGCCCCATAGCAACCACCATTCAACCACATTTCATATACTGTACCTATCTGGCCATAAGTATGACAACATATACAGAAATACAAGACTGCCTACATGCAAAGGTTCACGTTATAATTATTAAGGAAAACACAACTTTGTATTTCTGAATTGCTGGTGTTTATACTCTCAACCATAATATTTCATTAATGCCTTTTTATTTTTCAGTGAAGAGCTGCATTGACTATAAGGAAATAAAGAAAGAGTCTAACTCATTCATTTCAGTCCATGTTGTATGCTGTTATAAAAATATGCAACTAAGCTTACGTTTTAAAAGGTTTTAAACTAAGAAAACTAAGTAACTTAGAAGTGATTGAAGTTAATACAGAAAAAACTCTGCAGGAGTGATAGTAAAGGTTTCTCTCAGCGTTTTACCTTAGGATTTCCCAAAATTCTAATAAAACTGACATGTTCGAACATACTGAAAAAGTGACAGTCCATCATTCTCATGTCATATCAGTGCATTTGACTTTTTTTTAAATGTATGGATTATACAATTACTGCTTGCCTCCATATATTATATGTAAGAGCTACAATCTGATTCTATGTCCATGTTGTAATAATTTATTAAATAAAGCTGGCATGACTATAATGTTACCTCTACAATGAATATAATTTGCTGTGAATAGTCTAGGGCAATAGTTCTCAACCTTTTTGGGCTCAGGACTCATTTGTAAATCTTGATGGCCTGTCCGACCCAGTAAATAGCTTTAGTGCAAAAAAAAATCTGGTTTAGTAAATATTTGTTACCCATAAGTAAGTATTAAATAAGTCCTAAATAACCACACTCTGGACCATAGCAGTGGCTACTGCCTAGGGTGATCAGATAGTAAATGTGAAAAATTAGGATGGAGGTAGGGAGTAATAGACCACTAAGACAAAGCCCTGAATATCAGGACTTTTCCTATAAAATTGGGACATCTGGTCATCCTACTCCTGCCCCACAGGACAGACTGGGCTGGTCGATGGAAACCAGCCAGGCCAAATTTGTGTAAGTACCATCATGACCCAATACATGGAGTTGCAGTGCCACTCATTTAAATTTAGTCCAGCCAGCCCCATCATCATGAGAGAGAGGCGGGTAGGCCAAACCCAAACAGTGGTGAGACCCCATGCACCAAGCAACACCATCCAGAGTGGGAAGCCAAGTCCAGCCAGCCCCTTCCTTGGTACTGGAGCTGCAGCTGTGGGGTCCTCAGGGCCTCCTACACAAACTCAGAGACAGAACCTAAACCTCCTCCTTGGGCCTCCCATGCAACCCTTTGACACATTCTGGGATCCTCGTTTTGGGTTACGACCCATATTAGGTTGAGAAACTCTGGTTTAGGGGACTGCAAAACAGACCAAACTGAAACTGGTAATTGTCTTCATCTTTCATACATCCGATGTTCCATCTTGATCCTAGTAGCCTTACCCCTTACATCATAATGGAGGATTGGGATGTTGGGATTCATATTGTCTTCAGGCCAAACCTCTATATTATTAGAATAAGAATAGCTGTAATTTGCTCTAATTATATACATTAGCTGAGCTGCTGGAGAGCTGCTAATGCAACCTTCAATGGGACAAAGTCCAGACAGCCCATGTCTAATGCTCTGCACCATCAGCAAATCATTCCTTCTACAAAAACTCCCAGCAATTTTGGATTCCAGTTATTATTATCCCATAGATACCACACATTTGCTTCATATATTACAGATAATAAAAAACGCTGATCTTGGCTCTTGATCTGACAAAACTCTAAGGTGGCATAAGGGAACAAGGGTTATAACAACCCTGTTTTAATGGGTTCACCAGGGCTGGTGCTAGACTTGCTGTGGCCCAGGGCCCCACCACCCAGGGCCAACGCCCAAGGGCTTTAGCTGGGGCAATGGGTCTTGGTCTTCGGCTCCCCACCCACCCAAGGGGATGGGGCTTTGGCTTTGCCTCCTTCCCAGGGCAACGGTGCTTGGGTAGGCTTGGGCTTCAGTCCCCCATCCTGAAGGGGGTTGCGGTGCAATGATGTTTGAGAATGCCTGGGTTAAAGCAACAAAATTATGGGGATGTTAAGACGCAGCATGGAAGTTCCACTTTGGAACTTTTCCCCCACGTTTTCTCCCCAACCAACCCACCCACCCGCCCCCACTTTGAACTGAAGATCAGGGTTTATAGGCCTCATGAAAAGTGTTTTAAGAGACTGAAGGAGTAGAGTGAAAGTATGTGAAGCTGGATCAGAAAGAGAACCTTAAAGGGCCGCTAGAAGAAATTAGAGGTGAAGAGTGTTGCTAACTTGGGTCTTTACGCAGACTGTATATTTTTTCAATGTAATTTTATTGAAGTTCTTATAAAAATGAATTTCTTTTATGCACACTCACTCTCCCCTCTCCGCAAGTTAGGGATAAGTGAGCCTTCGCATAGGGTTACCATACGTCCTCTTTTTCCCGGACATGTCCGGCTTTTCGGCACTCAAACCCCCGTCCGGGGGGAATTGCCAAAAAACCAAACATGTCCGGGAAAATGGCAGCTCTGCTCCTCCCCTGACTCTTCAGCTCTGTTTAAGAGCCAGGCTGCCCAAGCACTACCGGCTTCGGGCAGCCCCCATGCCTCCAGACCCTGCGCCGCCAGAGCCCAGGAAGCGCAGGGTCCAGAGGCAAGGGGGATGCCCAAAGCCCAAGCACTACCGACTTCCCGGTTTGCCGGGCAGCCTCCAGACCCTGTGCCCCAGCTGGGCGCTTCCCCTCCCGGGCTCCAGCTGCGCTGGGGAAGCGCCGGCCTGGGGCAGAGGGTCTGGGGGCTGCCCGGCAAACCGGGAAGCCGGTAGCGCTCGGGCAGCCCTTTCCTCATTGCTGGGAGTGGGAGGGAGCAGAGTTAGGGCGGGGAAGGGGCGGAAATGGGCGGGGTCAGGGCCCGTGGAGGGTCCTCTTTTTTTATTTACTGGATATGGTAACCCCACCTTCGCACAATTCAAAACGTCCCCACACCAAGTGAGGTTGTTTGCATGACACAACTATCAGGCACAGGGCAGGAGGCAGCTTTTATTCAGGGCACAGACGCAGACAGGCTACAGCGCGGCACTGCGCTAACTGAGCATGGGGTTTGACTGAAACGAATTAAAACTGGAGCAATTTTGAAGGACGATCGCTACGTGGCGAGGTCACGAGTCACCCTGCGCAGCGCCAGGTCAGGAAGGGGCCAGGCTGCAACCACCGGGCAGCCATCTTATCGCGCCCAGGCCTCCAGCTCCCCTCGCCTGCCCTCACATCCCCCTGAGCACCGGGGCGCGGCAGTCGCCAGGCAGGGCCCGGCCGGCCCGGGCGCCTGGTCGAGGTCGCGCCGCGCCCCAGGCCGTTCAGGACACGCGCCAGGGTCGCGGCGGCTCAGGGCTCGTGGGCCGCGGCCCTGGTGGAAGGCTGGCTAGGCCCGCAAGCCGCAATGCACGCTGGGAAACAAAGCTGCCGGAGTCCGGCTCCAAACGCGAGCCTCGGGCCGCGCATGCGCCGTTATCCCCGAAGCCAACATGGCAGCACAGCGCGCTGAGAATGCGCGCTCCTCTTTGAAATAGGGCGCTTCTCGCGCGTGCGTACTCCGCCGCCTTCGCCGTACGGCACAGAAAGCTCAGGGCATGGGCGCTTCCCTACTCCATCTTTCAACACGCTCCACGCATGTGCGGCCCCTTGTCACCACAACTCAAATCGCACGCGCAGTCCTAACGCGTAGGAACAGGGAGCCGCCCCGCATGCGCACTCCCTCGCTTCCTTGTTAAGTTTTTTTTTTTTTCCATTTGACGGGGAGGGAGAACCATCTCAGCGCCAAGCGCGCCAGCCCCAATCACAGCTCGCTACGTTTTTCCAACCCTCAGCAGTCCCGCCATTCACACGCCCTTTCATGGCGTCGGAGGCGGGACATGCAAATAGATTGGCTAGTAAACGAGTTCCTGGCCACCCGCCCACAAAAGCAAGAAAACGACGGCAGCGCAGAGGCCCAAAAAGCCTGGGGGGAAGCGCAAGGCCGATTTCGGCCCAGCAGGTGCCCCATACACCCATAGGAGGCGCCTACAACGGTTGCAAATGGCAACCTGCGGGACGGAGCCTCCCAAGAAGGCCAAACGGCCGCAGCCCGTTAGGTTTCACTTACCGCTCGGGGGAGCCGTCCGCCTCCGCTTGTGATGATCTTGGTCACAAGTGGCGCGCCGTAGATTCGCCGTTCTGCGTCACTCTCAGAACGAGGCCGCGTAGCGCTGGGGGGAGGGGAGGAGGAGAGAAAGAGAAAGGCGACGTGCGGTCACGTGACACGCGGCCGGAACAGGAGCGCGAGCAGCTGGCGCGTGCAGGAGCTTGCAAGAGAACTCGCTCACCTCCCACCCCCAAAACTCCGCGCGGCTGGAGTTGCCGCCGCTTCGTGTTCCCTGAGATGCGCCGATGCAGAGGCTGGCCCCGAAGAGGCCTCGCGGGAGCGACGGGGATGCTGCAGTCTGGATGGACGGGGTGCGCAGACTCGGTGCCTACGGCCCACTGGAGCCCCCTGCGAGTCTTCGCTCACCATTGCTCAGTTGTTTCTAGGGCAAGTGGTTAGGGGAAAATAGCAAACAGGCAAAAAACAGACTCTGAAGTCCCAGCAGGAGGCGGCTGGATGGAGGAGACGCTCCAACATTAGCATGTGCTGTCTACCTGGTCTCCACCTGAGTTGTTCTAAATCTGTGGTTCACAGACCACTCAGCACACACCTGTGGTGCTCATGTGACATCCTCAAGGCCATACAGGCAGTATCTATATTGCGTGGATGTGGCCTAATAGAGAGCTGCATTTAGCCCAAAATGGTAAATCATTTGTGAACTAGTGGTCTAAATTACAGATTTTAAACCCTTTCTGGTAATGTTCAAATTGAAGGATAGCCAGTGGTTGATCCCTTAATTCTCACAAATGTCTCTGTACTAAAATGCAGTTGCTTTTGTTTTCAAGTTGAGAATGTCGGTTGCTAGGTAAACCATATTAGGGCCTTGCAATCTGACCACACTGTAGTTTTTGAGTCAGTAATATTTAATTATCAGAGGGGTAGCCGTGTTAGTCTGAATCTGTAAAAAGCAACAGAGGGTCCTGTGGCACCTTTGAGACTAACA